CACAAAAATATTAAAAAGCACAACTGTTTTCAGCATTATAAAATAATAAGAAATGTTTCTTAAACATGAAATCAGCATATTAAAATGATTTCTGAAGGATCATGTGACACTGAAGACTGGAGTAATAATGCTGAAAATTCAGCTTTGAACTATATTAAAATAGAAAAATAACTATTTTAAATTGAAATAATATTTCACAATATTGCTGATTTTACTGTATTTCTGATCAAATAAATGCAGCCATGGTGAGCAGAAGAATCATGTTTCAAAAGCCAACCTCAAACATAAAGTGTGTGTATTTATGTGTTTCAATCAAGTGTCTACATTTTTGATAGCTACCATAGATCCAGACAAACTGAAATAATGTTTTGCGATCTCTCATCCCAACACTATCCAGAACTTCTGTGTTAAGACTCGCCTCTTTGTTTTTAGATTTTATGAACATTATGAATGTGTCTGACATCAAGCACATCCTAGTACAACTACACAAAAATCCTGCTGACCAGCCGCCACGGGACACATTTTAAAATATAACTTCTGTTGCATATAATAGAGTCATTCTTTGAGACCTACAGGACAGTTTTTCACTCATTTAGAAGAAATGTTGTAAAGTTGTAATATAAGTAAGCTGGTTTTAAGAAACTGAAAAAGGCATGTCAGTCACAATATGAAAGGGTGCTTGCCATTCCTAAATGAAGATATATACATCCACCCACACACACACACACACCGCCTGACCGCGCCGTGGCCCACAGTATTTCATGCCATGAATTCCTGGACTGAATCCTCACTCACTTTGATACTGATAACAACTAAATGTGTCGACACACAGTGAGTTTGCCAAGCACTCGTAAATGCCAAACACTGGCATCCTTCATAACACTCTTTTCAACCTAGGTGTGTGTGAGACCTGTTGACTTTTGAGGAGTAGTTCTGTATTCATCACTAATGATAAGGATAAAATATTCAACTAACTGTTGGGTTTGTTATTCAGGGTTTCTTCGAGTCTTAAAAAAGTCTTAAAAAGTATTAATTCACCCTTTCACAATTTTTAATCAGAGCAGAAATATATGTATATATATATATATATATATATATATATACACACACTCAGTATTTTTGTTTTCTGATACAAATACCTAAACATCCTTAAATGTTTTCTGAGAAATTTAACCAAACAAGGGAGTTTATGTTTAAAACAAGAACGAATATCTGTCAATAAGATGTAAAAATTTCTTTTCCATTTAAATAAAGTTTATTTTTCTGAGCCCACTGGCAGATATTTGTTCTTGTTTTCGATCATAACTCGCTTAATTTTGATCAGTTTCACAGAGAACCAGACTTCTTATGTCATTTTGCTTCTCAATTAAATGTATCTTAATTTAAGTATCTTTAGACATTTGCACTGGAAAGCGACAAAAATACTGAGGAAGAAATCACTTTTTTTGTAGTGTGATCAGAATGTACACTGTAAAAAAATAAGTGTAATTTTAACTGTAAAATTTTGTAAAAACGCTACGGAAAAAAACTGTTAATAGGTTAACAGTAAGTTCCCGTACTACAGTATATACAGGGAAAAACTGTAAAATATCTAACCAGATATTTCATGTAATTTTACAGTAAAATATTTTTTTATTTTATTTTTTGTCAAATTAATTTAAAGGTAATGGAAGTTGTATTTTCAAACTTTGAAGTGTTGCTAATATAACTCATAACTCATTTACGCATTTACACTTAGAGAGCATATTGACGTATTGTTTCGCTTTAATTTATTCTTTACATTTTCTTTACTTGGTCTTAAAAAAGGTCTTTAAAATGTCTTAAATTTGCCTTCATAAAACCAGCAGAAACCCTGGTTATCAGGGTCTCTTTTTGTTCTGATCTTTAGAATAGAGTATGCGTAAATGATGAAATCTGTGTTGTCAATTGTTTTGCCATAGGGAGACATATATTAGTTCCTGTTGTTGCCGAATGTGAACGGATGAAACACTGCAGACATTCTCTTCAGTAACTTCCAAAGTACATGGTTGCTATAGTTGCTGTGATCTGATCTGATGTCTCTTATGTTGGCTTCAGGTTCAGGTGGAGTTGTCTTTAGCGAGTGCATATGTACAGTACATTTACATAAAGCTGTGAACGCCTCGCATCCACCTAAACCTCTCCAAATAATGAGACCGGATCCCTATCCCGCTGCAGTCATAAGGGCGGTGCATGATCTTCGCTTTTCCAGCTGTAATAATCGGCAAGAGCTCCATCAAGCTCTCTAAATGTCATTCTCTGAAAGTTCGATTCTTGTTTGTATTACTCGGATGAGTGAGCGGCAAGCCTTCTGACCTTCACAGTCGATCTGACTCTTCTAGTTGGTCCCTTAGATAGACTGAAAGGAAGGAGGTTAATTAGATCTCCGTTTTCTGACCCACTTTCTTCCAGGTGTTTTACGCTGTTTGATGCATTGACTCGAGCTGGCCCATAATGCGTGCTCTGACTTGAACGGACCTCTGGCAGGATGATGTAAAGCAAACATTCCTCCCTACTTTGATTGGCATCTGTTTTTTTCTGTGGCAATATGGTCACAATTACTCCTGCCGTCACATTCCCCTAAATCTGTAACAGACACGCATCGAGGATTATGTAAGCAGCAGGTTTTTGGCAAATGGTGCATTTCACAAGATCAGATCATTGCATTTGCTGCGAATGGCCTGCGATCTTTTCTACTATAGACCTCAACACAGACTTTTGGGTTTCTGTTGCAGTCTGAAGGTTTATAAAACGAAAAACATTGTAGTTTCTTGGCACTTTTATGGCCTATGGGTTGGTTTCTATTAAAACTAACAAATTTAACCAACTTTTGTGTGTGTGTGTGTTATGGGATTGTCATATTAAAACTGGCTTGGAAACTTTTTGCCTTGCCTGCATTTAGTTTAGCTACTTTTCACATGCCTTTTATGTAGTTTTTATTGTCTTTTGTCTCAGGCCCAAATTCTGACTTTCAATTTTTAAATAATGTAAAAACCATCATTAAAAATACACGTTTTTAAAACTATGATGATGCAAACACCGAGTGAAATTAACACACAGTCAATTATATGCTAATTACAAACTTAACGTGTGGTTGCATTTACCATTGTTCAGCGAATTTTCGTGGGTGAAATCTAGTAATTTCAATAGGAATCAACGCGATTGGGAATTTCGCTTGGGCGCGAAACATTTCCAGTGTATATTTTCATCAGGTTCAAGATGGTCACACGGATTCGCCCTGTGTTGACCAACAGAAAGCTGCTTAGTTTGAAAGTGACTCCATACATCACTACACTGTCGACAATAAACAATGGAATTTTTTTGTTCGAAATTGCTGAAATTTATCTAATTTGACTGTATTTGAAAGTGTGTCAATTTTTCTGTGTAATATACTTTTTTTCAAGTCAGTCTGCTGGTTTATTAAGGAGACTGCAGTTTGTAATGAATTATGAGACATGTTATGTACAAAGAAAACAAAGAAAAATGTATGTAAATATCAGTTGCAAGCAGAATATTTTTTCTTAATCTGTCTCATTTCAAATCGAGCCATAATTCTGTCAAATGACGTGAAAAATGTGAAAGTATTTCATTGTATTTTGAGTGCATAAGGAACTAGCTGTGAAATTAGCCTATATGAAAACAAAGAAGTTGTCCATTTGATTTAAAAAAAAAACGAATAATTTCAAATGTGACAGAAATTGTCAAAATATGACGGTTCAGAAAAATGACAGAATTGTCCTGTACAGTGTGAAAAGTATTTTAAAGCAAAGTTATTTTCTAAAAGTCCACTCGGCCAAAAGTGTCATAGTTAAATAAGAGCCCTGTCCCAGAATCCCACACTTGATTTGTATTTATGACCAGTGACTTGCAGAAGCATATACTAAAATTTCCTGCATAAAAAAACAAGATTTGAAAGGAATGATGATAAAAATGTTACGAGTTAATGGTTGAATAAGTAACTGGAGTGAATAAATGTTCCACTAGTGATTTTGATGTTATGGTTCTGTGCTCTTGAAAATTGTTAATCTAGACACACACAAACACACAGAAATCACCCTGCCAGGTCGGAGCGATTTACTGTAACATTCCTCTCATATTTATTTAAGGCGGCTGAATCTGGCTAGTGCTAACATCACTTTAACAATCCTGCCGTTTGGTGGGAAAGGATTGGATTTGTGGCGTCTCATGAGCCAGTGGCTCCTAACTAGCGAGGCCTGTCATGTACGTGAGATGAATGTCTTTAAGGACCAGTCTTGGGCTTTAACTACCCTGATTGTTTGTGCTTGGAGACATTCAGCTTTATTCACAATGCTGGAATGGTCAATGGCTAAATGCTCCATGTTCCCATTCCAGAGTGGGAACGCCATGGACTCCTTGAATTCAAATTCAAAAGAAGCGGAGTGACAGAAGCGATAAAGAGCACTTTTGTAACTAATGAATGTGTAGCAGAAGCAGCTCTGTTTTATTGGCCCGCATAAGTTTGAATGCTTCCTAAGACAAACAGTTATTGCAGAGCGCGACACGGTTTGTTGTAAAAGCTCGGCTTTTCTCTTGGGAGGGAATGCATATTTTTGACCTGTGCTGACGTCAGAAATGACACTCTCGTTTTAACCACAGCTTACTTACTCTCAGGCTGAGAGACCAGATGCTGACATGGTTTATTACACTGCTCATGATCAAAGTCACGAGGAGATTTCATGAGGTTCAAAGCTAATTAGCGTTCACATAAAGTATCCTGGCAATTAAAGACAGCATGAAACAGCATTCGCGATGCATTAAACTTCTGTAATATGTGTTTCTGAAGAAAATCAGCATGGGATTGTCTTGTAAATATGTATTTTATCCATTGGGATTTGTGGAAAGTGCAATATTCTATTATTGATTAATATTATTTTTCCTTTCCCGTGCACAGTTATTAAGAATGCAAATGTTGATATTGTCTGGAAATTGTTTTAAATGGCTACTTTTGTCTTTTTGTCTAGGTGGAGGAGGAAAACGGAAAGGAAGAAGTAAAAAATGGAGGGAGATCCTTCGTTTCCCTCATATCAGTCAGTGCACAGAGTTGAGCAAAACCATTGGTAATGTATCAACGCTTAGTGTGTCTTGTTTATACACTTCCTGTCATTTTCATGCTCCTTGTCAGCTGTGTTGTTGTTCTGGCCAAGTTGCTGTTCGCCATTGTTTAGCTGTCTCTGAGTTTACATTGCCATTGGCTTAATCCCAGTTTGCTTACAGTCTGAGAAATAGTATGTGAGGGTGCGTTCCAAATTACAGTAAGTTGAAAGTAGTGTGTCAAATGTGCCTGGATGCCATACTTGTCCCAGTGAATTTGCGAAGTATGCATCCTTGCATGCTGTTTGGTCTAATATTGCACACAATCTCTTGAGCAACAGAAGAAGAGTGACTGTTATCCAACTTTTTCAACTGTTGAAAAATAACAGCCAATTCAAGACTTACTTAAGACTTAGGTTTCCACATTTTTACATTTATAGAATATACACCAACATACTGTCCAACAGTTCACAGGATTTTTAATGTTTCTGAAAGAAGTCTCTTATGCTCACCAAGCATTCAGTAAAAAAATTAATATTGTGGAATATATTTGCAATACTAAAATAGAAAACAGTTATTTGAATATATTTCAAAATGTATTTATTCCATTTTTCAGCATTGTCATATGATCCTTCAGAAATCTTTCTAATATGCTGATTTGATGCTCAAGAACCATTTCTTATTATTATCAATGTTGAAAACAGTTGTGTATTACTCACCTTCATAGCACTGCCAAACCTGTATGACTGACTTTCTTCTGCGTCCCTATAATGAAAGTCAGTGGTGTTCAAAACAGCGTTGGACCCCGCTGGTTTTCATTGTATGGGCAAATTATCTTCTTTTGTATTCCATAGGATACATTAATACAGGTTTTGTAAAGACATGAGGTTGAGTAAATGACAGAATTTAAATTTTTCAGTTTTCTACCTTTAAAGGTATGCACCTTTCCATTAACCACAAAGTACATTTTTTTACATGGTATATACACTCACTGGCCACTTTATTAAGTACACCTGTTCAACTGCTCGTTAACGCAAATATCTAATCAGCCAATCACATGGCAGCAACTCAATGCATTTAGGCATGTAGACATGGTCAAGATGATCTGCTGAAGTTCAAACGAGCATCAGAATGGGGAAGAAAGTGATTTAGATTTCAGAAACTGCCGATCTACTAGGACTTTCATGCACAATTATGTGAAAATATCCAGCGAGCGGCAGTTCTGTGGGTGAAAGTGCCTTGTTGATGCCAGAGGTCAGAGGAGAACGGTCAGAATGGTTCAAGCTGATAGAAGGGCAACAGTAACTCAAATAACCACTTGTTACAACCAAGGTTTGCAGAAGAGCCCGTGTGAACTGTAGCCTCAGGAAACTGAGGCTACAATTCACACAGTCTCAATCAAAAAGAAGATCAGAAAAAGGGTTGCTTGGTCTGATGAGTCTTGATTTCTGCTGTGACATTCGTAATAGGGTCAGAATTTGGCATAAACGACATGAAAGCATGGATGCATCCTGCCTGGTATCAGCGGCTCAGGCTGCTGATGGTGTAATGGTGTGGGGGACATTTTCCTGGCACACTTTGGGCCCCTTATTACCAACTGAGCATCGTTTAATCGTCACAGCCTAGCTGAGTATTGTTGCTGACCAAGTCCATCCCTTCATGACCACAGTGTGCCCATCTTGTGATGGCTACTTCCAGGAGGATAAGCTCAAATCATCTCAAACGGCTCAGGAGGCTGCTGATGGTGTAATGGTGTGGGGGACATTTTCTTGGCACACTTTGGGCCCCTTATTACCAACTGAGCATCGTTTAATCGTCACAGCCTAGCTGAGTATTGTTGCTAACCAAGTCCATCCCTTCATGACCACAGTGTGCCCATCTTGTGATGGCTACTTCCAGGAGGATAAGCTCAAATCATCTCAAACTGGTTTCTTGAACATGCCAATGAGTAGACTAAACTCAAATGGCCTCCACAGTCACCAGATCTCAATCCAATAGAGCAGCTTTGGGATGTGGTGGAACGGGAGATTCGTATCATGGATGATCGGCCCACAAATCTGCAGCAACTGCATGATGCTATCATGTCAATATAGACCAGAATCTCTGAGCAATGTTTCCAGCACCTTGTTGAATCCATGCCACAAAGAATTAAGGCAGATGTGAATGCAGAAGGAGGTCCAACCTGCTACTAGCAAAATATACCACCACAGTACTTTTTTGTAAAGTTTTCCTTTTGTTTTGGGTCTCAGAGCGGGACTATTTCAGCCTGTGTGACAAGCAGCCCATCGGGAGACTTCTGTTCCGCCTCTACTGTGAGACCCGACCAGAGCTGCAGCGATGCATCCAACTCCTGGACTCTATGGTACGTCTGCGCACACATACACACATCTCCAGCACTCCGTACACCTGATATATGTTCTAATGAAAGCAGAATTTATTTAAGATTGTCCAAACAGCTTTTAGTCACTAATTGCTGGTTCTTTTAAGCATCTCCTCATCTCTTGCCCACTCAAAATTTCTCAGGTTTCTCGTAACTCTCCATCAATGTTCCACTGGCCCGGACAACATGCCTCCCACATGACTAGCATGGGCTATCATGGAGTAAAGCCCAAAATATCAGGGCCGGCATGTGGTCACTGAATGAGGCCATTGTCTGGTCTCTTCAACACCCCTATAGACCCCAAACTGTCTGAACCCCAGGAACCTGAACCCATGACAGGAAGTCGCCGTCATAAAACATGGGTCAGCGTGTTTGTGTTTTTTAGGACTTGGAAAGGTGTTCATCTTGTTTATGGTGTCTTGGAACGTTCTCCTTCTCATTTTAACAAAAACCCTTTGTGCAGTGTAGCTGTATAAGTGAATAGGGAAGCTTTATTGATGCGTTTCAGAGACGAACGTAAATGTCATCTGAAAGTCAAATAAAATCAAACAAAAATGACCTGAACATAAAAGCACCGTAATCGTGCCTGGGTTACGATGTTACAGCTAATGAAGTAAGAGCAGAAGATTTTTAAATAATGAAGGGAAAATGCCACAATGGTATGTTTTTAGTTAAAATTATTATAATAATCATGTGTGGGGTTGTTTTATTGGGATTTTATTAAGTGTTATTTTAGGAAGAATAGCTGTCAATAAAGGTGCATAGGACCACTAAATTATTCAGAATTATAGCTCCTTGTTTGGAGTGAATCTCACGGAGACTGTCAAGTCTTATTTCACGCAAAAATCAAAAGACAAGAAAATGAAATTATATTTTGCCTGAAGTAGACAAAACGTATTTTAGAGCCACTAGAAAATAGGATCCCCAAATTCTTATTACTGTAGTGCCAAAACAAATAATTCTGTAATAGAATAATATACACTATCATTCAAAAGTCTTATACTCACCAGTGCTGCATTTATTTGTTTTGTTTTCTATTTTAATATATTTTAAAATGTAATTTATTTCTGTGATGCAAAGCTGAATTTTCAGCATCATTACTCCAGTCTTCAGTGTCACATGATCTATCAGAAATCATTCTGATATGCTGATTTGCTGCTCAAGAAACATTTCTATACCCTGTTATTATAAATGTTGAAAACAGTTGTGCTGCTTTGGTTTTGTGTAAACCATGATAAATTTTTTTTTTCAGATAAATAGAATAAAAAGATGAATAGTTCAAAAGATCAGCATTTATTTGGAATCGAAATCCCTTGTAACATTTTGAACATAGTTGCTGTCGCTTTTTTTATATATAAATGTAATGCATCCTTGCTGAATAAAAGTATTAATTTCTTTCAAAAAAACTAAAATCTTACTAACTTTTGAACAGTGCATATCATCTAAATTGTAAATGAATATTTCATAATAGAATTAGTTTTACCTCCTGTTATGATTATTATAAAAATCATTGCGTGCAAACAGAATGGTTTCCATTACTGCATTATAGTGAGATCTTGTTAAATAATGACATTCTACAAACAAACTTGGTTTTGCAATTTCTTTTGATTTTTAGGGTGAAATAATGGCCCCAAGATGCTCTTGACAGACTTTGTGAGATTCACCCAATTAAACTCTGTTCTCAAGAAGAAGAAAAAGTGCTCTTTATGACACGATGTATTGAACTGAAAATGTTTGATGTATGCATGTTCTGCAGGCAGTGAGCGTGTATGCATGTGTTTGTGCGAGTCACCATAAGGAAAGAGCCCGGGGGATTTTTTTGAGGCCTGCTCTGACGTCAGAAAGTAGCGGGATCTCAATTGTTGTGGCGAGTTAGACAGCACTGTCTGTGTCTGCTCTGTGTGAGATCTGTGTGTGTGTGTGAAACAAGAAAAGAAACGCGAGAACTTCATGCGAGAAACCTCTTCACACATTTCTTTGGGTTTATGTGTACACAAAGACAAATGAAATGTGCATGCCGCTGACCTTTTTAGTCTGGGTTTTGTTTTTCCATCTCTGTGGAGGCGGAATAGTCCGATGTTATCGCACACATCAGATTGGCCCAGTTCCTCTGTGTCAGAGGCAGCCCGCCATTTGTTTTGGCCTGGTGGCTCTACTGTACCATTCAGAGCCGCTGACGTAGGTCTGTTCTCAAACCACTATTATGATTGGATCTCTCTCTGTGTGTATGTGTGTTTGTATTTTCTGCTTTTTTCCATGCGGTGACCGTTAACATGCAGGCATAGCTAATTCCCTTGCAAATTCCATCATTTCCCATTCAAAAGGTGGCCAAGAGAGCAGTATATAAGCCCTGTGTCCTTTCTCAATGTCACTGTAATCTACAGTTGTATTCTAGGTTCAGTACAGGTTATTTCAGTCGACAGTATTTGTGATACAAGTAGCACAAAAAACATGGGCACGTTCCCTGAAAAGTCACTGTTACAGTAAAGCGCTAACAATGGAAGTACCTTCGTGGAGCCAAGGAATAAACATTACAAAACACACTGTTTAGTATAGCCACAAGACCTAAACATTATACATTCACTAACTCTGCATAGATGCATATTTATGCGTAAACCCTGTGTGTGAATTTAGAATAACATTTATATCCAGCTATAATTTTTTGTGTCAGTAGGAAATATATAATTGGGCATAATCTCTTCTTCTTTACAAGCTATAGCACGAAATAAACATGAATGAACATCAGAAGGTATCTTGTTTCAACCGCGGAGAGAAATCTACTCTCCTGTCTGCTTTGTTTGTCGGACAAAGTGGCGAATTCGGCATTATGATTAGACAGATCGCCTGTCAATCAAACTCCAGCGAAGGGTCAATTTAGGCTTTTATTCAGATATAAACACACATACGTAGAGCACATCGAATATGGTAAATGAGGCTTAAACGTGCTTGCTTGATGCGTGAGAACCAGTGAGGTTTGTTCTCTTGCGTCTCACATGCACATTTGAGCTTCCCCAATGAGTAATTGATGGGAACTTTTTTAAACTTTATGTTAAAGAGAACTTTCCCTTTAACTTAGGCACTAGCTGCAATTAATTCCATAGAACCGACTTCTATTGAACTCTGAACATTCTTGTAACATTCTTTTCTTCCTTCATTGCTCACGGGCACGGCACTATTTTAAATATTCCATTGGAGGAGTTGGCAAATGTGTTAAGGGGAATGGAAATCATACTGCTGCATGTGTCGAGACGCAGTGCCCGTGCACACACACACACACACAGAGTCCCCCACTATGTAATGACGTTCAGTGTATTTAGTGACGCTGCTGGGCCGTGCTGTGGCGCTTCAGGACCTTATGGAATCCTGCCGTGTTGACTGGCTGGTTACCAAGCAACCTGAAGTCACACACACGGTGGGCTTCATGAAGCGTGTGTGTGTGTGTGCTCATGAAGCATATGTGTGACGCGTGTGCGGACACATGATTTGTGCGAAAACCTATTTGCGGGTACATATGCTTTGGCATAGGCGCATGAGCTTGTGTGTATGTGTGTGTTTACATCTTTCGGGACGGAACCGAGTGGGGGCAGGCGGTCATGGAGAGTCTTGCGTAATGGGATCCACAGAGCACGAGGGCCGGAGAGGGTGTTGATGAGGGTGTCATCAAGCATTACCCCCCAACACACACACATAGGCACATTTACGGCCCTTAGGGAAAGGACGTGCCAGACTGTGGAGCTCATTCATTGTGTAATCACTCACAGACTCAATTACATGATGCTTCTGCCTCATTCAGCATATAGAAATGGATACCGACTGAAATGGTGAAGTCAGTGGATGTAGTTTCTGTTTTCCTGTGTTGAACAAGTGATTTGAGTTCACATAATACTCTCTGTCGGTCTCGGTTTCATTAGTCTCAAGGTTTTTGAGTATCGGCACAAAGTCTGGTCAATATTAGCCTCAAATGACTAGTTCTTTGACTAACACATCAAGTCTGGTCCACGTTGCAGCTTATTCTGGGCTTAAAAAAACACTGTCTGACTGACTTATAAAGTGAATAACCATAGTTGTTTTGTTTTTACATGTTGTGGGGTCTGAAATAGGTTATGCCGTAATAATAGACTATTTATTTAAATAAATAAATAATGGCTCTTTTTTTTTTTTTTTGCATACCCCCTAAAAGCTGGATTGTTGCACCCTCAGTAAGCTTGTTTAGCTTACTTAACTTATTTTAATATTATTTATAATATTACTACTTCTTTTTTTTTTTCTTTTTTTTGATGTGTTTTTTTCTTTTTAAGTTTTAGTCGTTTTTGCAATGTTCTTTGGTTTTTTTTTAAGTGCCCCTAGGCACTAAAGGTTCCTAATATTGTTTTGGGAGTCTCCAACAATTGGTTTACATGCATGCAAGGTCAAAAAACTATTTTTCACAAAAAAACTAATATTTTCTCAAAATATGCATTTAATATCACCTCATTTTCCAACGATTCTCAAACGATTCGCTCGAAGCAGTTCTAAGATTCAGTCTCTCTAAACCCCTCCTCTCTGTGAGCCTACTCTGCTCTGATTGGTCAGATGGCCCAGTCTGTTGTGATTGGTCTACCGTGTACAGCGTGTGTCGGAAACGATATGCCTATTGCCATAGTTCCATATTTTGAACGCTTGACAGAAAATATAAACATCTATTATTTATGATTCTTACAGGCTGTGATTCAGTGGAGCCATCTGGTCCAAATAAACAGTGTACTGAACCATCTTTCAAGAGCAAGCGTTTTGTGATTCCCGCGTTGAACTCCCCGAGATTAGAGAAGCTGTCGCCAGTAAAATGACGGGAACACAAAAAAGATTGGGGTTGTACTGCTGTGATACAGTGGAACAAATTAATTTTAACCACTGATTCTTTGCAGCCTCATCTTTCGGAAGTGAAAATAAAATGGATTTACTTTCACAGCGTCTTCTCGACATGAAGTTAAACACACAAACAAGCTACAGTGTTTGAAGGCGGGTCAAGCTGTTCGTGGCCGGCTAACGTAGAACATAGGCGGGCGTTATGCAAATGTGTTACCCAGTGACATGTAGCCGTCACAGAAGTGGGATTTGAATTCATGACACTTACCTATTTTTGAAGCACAAAAGATATTTAAATAAATGTTTCAGTTGTTGTTAACCATATTGTGAAAGTTGGTGGGGTCAAAAACATTGGACTGCTTTGACTTTCATTATATAGACAAAAAAGTTGCGAAGACATTTTTCTAAATATCTTTTTTTCTTTTTTTTTTTTTAAGTGTCACGATGGGCATATGAATCTGAAATACCCCTGAGAGTGAAGTGTGGATAATTCAGTTCAAATCAGTTTAATCTCAATGCTATGAACCTTAAAGTCTTGGGAAAGGCTATAAACTGGTATACACAATTTTGATTCTCAGTGAACTGATCAAAAACCTTTGCTCCCTCACTCCCAGAAATTACAATTTGCCATTTTTAAATGCAGTGTGCATGAGGCTGGCTACTGTTTCATTAACGTCTAAATTAGATGCATTATGTCATAAGGTATCATTTATATTGTGGATTATGTTATGGCTTGTTTATCTCAAAGTTCATTTATAATTAGTTGTGAGTAATTTGTTTGTATCTGGACATTTAGGAGGACTACGAGGTGGCACCTGATGAGAAGAGGAAGAGTCGCGGAGATGAGATCATCAAGAAGTTTCTCACCAAGCAGGTGTGACTTGGTTTAACTTTCCTGTTGCGTGTGTGTTAATTTTGGATCTTAAACCATGATGCTTTTTTTTTTTTTAAAGAATTCTTTGATGAATAGAAAGTTCAAAAGAACAGCATTTAAAAAAAGAAATGCATTTTTGATCAATTTTAATGTGTCTTTGTTGAATAAAATAAATAATTTCTTTCTCAAAAAGACCAAAAAAAAATCATACTGTTCCCAAACATTTGAATGGTAGTTTATGTAATATGTGTAGCAAGCATTGCACAGATTGGGACAGACTGCAACAATAATTTTGTGCAAAAATATTCCAAAATCCACCAGAAATAGTTTTCACACCTTTTACATACTATTTTTAAACATGCAATAATTTGGACACTGTCATCCTAATATTGCATACTATGTAGCAGTGGCGAGGCTACAGGTGGGCACTTTCAGCTGTGGCCCACCCAATGAGAAGTTGATAATTTTCCAAATGGATGTCATTTATTAAACGATAATAATAATAAACGTCTTATTTCATTATAACTTTATATATTTAGTTTAAAAAATATTAAATGCGAGCTTTCATGGTCAATTACACAGTCAATTAATTTTCTTCATTTTCCCTCTTCCTATAGGTTCATACCATACGCTTGTCAAAATGATGATTCGTCTTTCTGTTAACAATGTGCAATACATTTGCTACAATATTTATTACATTTGTTAACGCTAGGTAATAAAAATACAACCTTTCGTTTCGATGTTAACAGAACTTTAATTTTAATAATGTCAATGTTGAAATTAAAATGAATGTTTATCAATGCTTTAGAAGTATTTTGTATTGAACCTTTGTGCTGTATTTTCTGTTGGCAATTTGACATGCAGTTTTCATACCCTTCACTTTGCCCACCCACTTAAACATTTGTGGCCTTGCCCCTGCTATGTAGTAAAGACAGTATTAAGAGTTAGGGATGCACGATTATGACAAAAATCATAATTGTCGATTATTCCCTTGAAATTGTAATTGCGATTATTAATTACGATTATCACAATTTACATTGAAATATGTTTATACCATTGTTTGATGCAACTGCATGCTATATTTTTAGATGAAAATAAACAAGCTGAAAATACTCTAACTGAACAAATTGTAGTGCTTTTCTATAGTATTAAGCCTCAAATGTCAAATATACATCGGATTGGTTTCTTCTTTAAATTATAAAAAAGTAAAAAATATGAATGGTATTATAATATTATACTAAAACTAAAACAATGGAAAAACCCTTATATTTTTAGATGAAAATAAATAAGCTGAAAACACTCTAACTGAACAACTTGTAGTGCTTTTCTATAGTATTAAGCCTCAAATGTCAAATTTACATTGGATTGGTTTCTTCTTTAAATAAAAATTTTAAAATAAGCATGGTATTATAATGTTATACTAAAACTATATTAAAACAATGGAAGAACCCTTAAGATTACCTGTAGAAAGAAAAAAAAAACACATCTTAAGCATGCAGAATAGCATAAGTGGACTTTGAACAATTAATTGCCGCTTTGAATGATTACGAGTTGTGGTGTTCGTAATTGTAAATGCAATTAGAAATTCGATTAATTGTTCAGCCCTAGACAGTATTTAGAATTAAGCTCTTTACTGTAATCTTTACTTCTGGAACCCAGCCATTGCACATTTTGTCTGCGTAAAAGTGTACTCACAGATCTGCCTATGGTCTCCTAACGGTCTCCATGCTGTTTAAAATCTCACAGAGCTCTTCATGACTACTTAAGTGGTGCTCCTTTTGCTGACTATCAGAACAGCATGTACTTCGACCGTTTCCTCCAATGGAAAATGCTAGAAAGGTTGGTTGCACAATTTATCTCCCTTTACTCTGTCCGTTAGTCTACTTACTCTACCATTTGTGTGCTATTTCATTCTTTTGGTTTGCTGTTCTTAGCTCGGCTTAAAACAGACGTCCTGGATCTGGATCAATTATATTCAGCTGTTACGGCAGTTCGGATGCTAATCCATTTAAAATGATTTGTTAGCGTAATTGTTAACAGCTCAACACATAAAAGCAAACAGCCATGTTTTGGTCATGAAACATACAAGTTACTCTGCAGCGTCTGTGCTAGATATAAACTGATTTGAACATCTTTACATTTGAGTGGCTCATTAAAAAATATATGAAAAATAGTTTTCTGTGAACACAATTCTAAAAAGCCTTTGTTTCACAAATGAGGTGGAAAATGTGTTTCTTGTCAAGTGTAACTGTCAGTTTAAAGTGTAAAATGTCAGTTTCCTCTCTGTGCTGATTTGATATCAGATTTTGTGGTTTCATTCTAGACAATCCATCACAAAAGACACGTTTCGGCAGTATAGAGTTCTGGGGAAAGGAGGCTTTGGAGAGGTGAGGATATTGTGAAAAATGATGTGTGTGTACTGAATATTTCCTCATTTGCTCTATATCAAAACCTAGTGAGCTGCCTACCTAGATTGTATTTTAAACATCATAAGTGTGCTCGAAGTATAAGCAGCGACATCATATACAGCCTTTATATCCTTGTATTTCACTCATTCACCAGAATTGTTGATCGCTATTAGCTTAGCAATATGCTAAGATCAAACTCTGCTGGAATCAGTTTTGAGTCAAGTTTCCCGTCTACCTCACATAAAGAGTGTTATTTGTGTGGCGTGCAAAGTCGCTGCGTTGGAAGGTGTGATCACATTAGCGAAATTTCACCAAAAAAAGTGTCAATAGTGTAGTGATGTATGAATAGGGTTGCCAACTTATATGGGATAAATACGAAAATACGGGACAGTCACCTTTGGGCTTACCACCATTCATAACCAATTGTTCTCCAGCTCTCCATTTTCTTTTTAAGCATCTTTGAAAAGAGGGTTTGACTTATTAAACACTGGTGGGTTTTTCTGGACCTTGGCAATGAGCTTCTTCGCAATGTCACCTGCTAATTTAAATGTACGAGCCCTTTAAATTTGAACGGATTCTGATTGGCTGTCTGTGTTTTTTCTTTTATTACCTGGAAAAAAAAAGTGATCCCAGTGACTATCATTAGTTGTGGTGTGAACTATTCTCTTAAATTGAGAACGACTTCTAGAACATTGTTTTTATATTTATCGTTCTTGGTGTGAACAGAACTTTTAATGCAAATTCACTGTGTGCTGACCAACACAAAACTGCTTGGTTTGAAAGGGACTTCTGTGTGAGCTGTGCCATCAACAACAGACAATTTTTTTTGTGCACATGCAATTTTGCAAAATTGTAAGGCAGAAGGTAACATTTGTGTGTGTGTGTGTGTGTGTGATGATATAATATATTATGTCCATCTGTGCCCAGGTGTGTGCGTGCCAGGTGAGAGCCACGGGAAAAATGTATGCCTGTAAAAAGCTGGAGAAGAAAAGGATAAAGAAGAGGAAGGGGGAGGCCATGGCTGGCAATGAGAAACAGATTCTGGAGAAGGTCAACAGCAGGTTTGTGGTAAGTGGATTCATTCATTTATCTGTTATCTTTCATCAGTTTTCCTCCCTTTACTCTGGTCCTGTTTACACCGGGCAAAAAACATCCATCTTTTGCGATTCAGTCACATGTGGCCAGGCAGGACAGGCTCAAATGTCAAATCAAGTCACCTTTATTTATATAGCGCTTTATACAATACTGATTGTGTCAAAGCAGCTTTACAGTGTCAAACAGGAAAATAGTTTGTCAATAATGCATATTCCTCAGTGCCTTCCTGTCTCTTTCTATTTTTTTATTTATCTAATAAAGGCTTGCTCTAGCTTGTGTATTTCAAAACGGAAATGAATGCTTTCATTTATTCTGCACATCTGATCGTTCTCGTCTCTCTGGCTCTCAGGTTAGTTTAGCGTACGCGTATGAGACCAAAGATGCCCTGTGTCTGGTGCTGACCATAATGAACGGTGGTGATCTGAAGTTTCACATCTATAACATGGGAACCCCAGGCTTCGAGAAGGAGCGTGTGCAGTTCTACGCCGCTGAGATCTGCTGCGGTCTCAAGCACCTCCACAGAGAGTCTATCGTCTACAGGTGTGTGGCTCTACATCCTCAAATGCATCCAGCCTCATAAATTAATAGTGAAATTGTGTGGTCATTTTATGTTGCTTTCTATCATTCTAGGGATTTAAAACCAGAGAATATACTATTAGATGATAATGGTAAGTCAAATCAAATTGTCCTTCAAATGAGCTAAGTATGGAATTGCATTGTACTGATCATACTACTTCTTTCACTTAATATTTAGATTTTAATAAATTGTGAAATGCAACAATAAATGCATTTTGTATTATGCATTTATCCCTACAGGTCACATCCGGATCTCAGATCTGGGGCTGGCCATTAAAGTGCCTGATGGAGAACAGATCCGTGGCCGAGTGGGGACCGTGGGCTACATGGGTAATGATCTTTAATTGCACTGATTTATAAATGTGTAAAATATTGGAGCTGGGAGATATGTTGAATATTCACAATATATTCACAGTGATTCTGTTGGTAATGTAAAATTTAAGCTCTCATTTATAAATAAATCAACATTTTTTTTAATGCATATTTTGGAATTAAATAAACCAATATTAATTATTGATTTACAGTACCATTCAAAAATTTGGGGATTTTTTTTTTAAGAATGCATGCATGCAGTAAGAATGCATTATTGATAAAAAGTGACAAAAGATTTCTATTTCAAAATAACTTGTGCATTAGAGAATTCTTGAAAAAAATGTATCGTTATTCACACAAAAATATGAAGCAGCACAACTGTTTTCAATATTTATAATAAACAGAAATGTTTCTTGAGCAGCAAATCAGCACATTAGAATGATTTCTGAAGGATCATGTGACACTGAAGACTGGAGAAATGATGCTGAAAATTCAGCTTTGATCACAGGAATAATATTACAACATAACTGTTTTTACTGTATTTTTGATCAAATAAATGCAGCCTCGGTGAGAGACTTTTTTTCCAAATACATGGAAAATATTACCACCCCAAACTTTTGAATGCTAGTGTATCTATTGAAATTATGAAAAGGCTGAAAATATTTGTTTTTAGCTGCATCAATCAGTCCTGCTAGATATCTATTCATAGCAATATGAAACATTAAAATGTTGTTTATTGATTGATAAACTCAAACTGTATTGATGGACAGCTCCAGAGGTGATCAATAACGAGCGGTATAGCATGAGTCCAGACTGGTGGGGATTGGGTTGTCTGATCTATGAGATGACCGCCGGCCGATCGCCTTTCCGCGCTCGCAAAGAGCGAGTGAAGAGGGAAGAGGTGGAGAAGAGGGTGCAGGAGGAAGAGGAGGAGTACAGTGACAAGTTTTCAGAAGACACCAAAGGCATCTGCAGGATGGTGAGGACACACACACATATGCTGGTCAACATCCAAGATGACGCAGCAGAGTACAACTAAGAGCTTGTATCTAAAGCTACATTCTCTCTTCAGTCAAATGCGCCATAGAAGCTGATTTAGAGCCCATTGATTGAGCGCACAAAGCTGGTAAAGTTGAGTCCATTCTGAATGTTTGGCTCATTTCACTGGCTGGTAGTGCATGTTTTCTGCTGGGAAAGAAGCTGATAATGAGTTCTCTGAGACCAGCTCAGTTCAGGATTGTTTAATAATCTAAATTTATTGTAAAGGACCTCTGTTGTCTTTTATTAGGGTTGTGTCATGCGACTGGCTTTCACCCCAAGAATGAAAAATCTGTCATTTACTCACCCTCACGTTGCTCCAAACCCATATGACTTTATTTTACAGTATAAGTGAACAGAGACAGACACTGTCAAGAAAAGTTGAGAGACGTATTTCACAAAATGTGTTTTTAGGATTTTGAAAGTTAATGTGTGCTCTTAAGATGTTAAATAAATACGTATATGATGTATATAATATGTAAATGTTAAGAAAAACAACAAATTTACATGTAGTATTTTAGGGGGGAAAGTGTTCATCTTAGTGTCAACATAATAAAAAGTAAATGTTCTAGATAATATTGCAACAATTAGATTTTGTACATGGGTAATATAAAAGCCAATTATTTAATTTTGGAAGCAATTATTTATAATTGTAGTAATTATATTAATATCACACTTTTATGAAAATATTGTTAGAAAGTAATACTTTTATTCAGCAAGGATGCATTAAATTCATCACAAGTGAGAGTAAAAACATTAATAATGTTACTGTTTCACATATTTTGTTGTTTTGAACTTTCTGTCCATCAAAGAATCATGAAACATTATTGTTTCCACAAAAATATTAAGCACAACTGTTTTCAACATTGATAATAAGACATGCTTCTTGAGCAGCATATCAGCATATTAGAATGATTTCTGAAGGATCATGTGACACTGAAGACTGAAGTAATGATGCTGAAAATTCAGCTTTGATCACAGGAATAAATTACATATTAAAATATGTTACAATAGAAAACAGTTATTTTAAATTGTAATAATATTTCACAATATTACTGTTTTTACTGTATTTCTGATCAAATAAATGCAACCTTGGTCAGCAAAAGAGACTTCTTTCAAAAGCGACCCCAAACTTTCGAACGGCAGTGTACCCCTCGCAAGGGGACCGTCATGTTTGGGTTTACTTGGCATTATAAAGCTTTAAAACCTCCGTGCTAACTGACTGTGACCTAATGAAAGTTTTTTTTGTTGAAGAAGAAGAAGCTGAAGCCCAAATTAAATTTGCGAGTTTCAGCAGAGAGCAACATCAGCTTTAGTCTTCACACAAAGCTATCATATGACTTCATAATAGTTAACAAATTATATGGGGTACTTGTTTTGCTCTTCACTGCATACTCAATTTGGTATGGAAAATGTGACGTTCTTATTTTGTATTGAACAGAAGATTTAAAATCAAATAGATATCAGAATGACATGAGGATGAGTGAGCAATGACAGGTCACCATTTAGCTGTTTTGAATTTGAAATTCTTTGTCCTCATGCAAATGGCCTCCGCTTTCGAGCTGATGATGAAAGATTCCAGCCTAACTCGTTCCTGTGTGTGGTTTTGTAATGTCTGGTTTGTGATTGCTGCCCCTAGTTTTAGGATGTTTGCCCCATTTAAATATCTTCATTTGGCACACACGCTCTTTTTCCTAGTGTTTGTCATTGACCAGCTTCGGCTGTGGTGTAATAGGTTACATTCCACTCTTATAAGAATGTACAAACCTGTGTTCCTAACGTCTGGCTGGCTGCTCTCCTCTCTCTGTCCCGCAGCTGTTAGCCAAAGATCCCAAGCAGAGGCTCGGCTGCCAGGCGGACGGAGCTGCTGGAGTTAAAGCCCACCCTTTCTTCAAGAACATAAACTTCAAGAGGCTGGAGGCCGGCATTCTGGAACCTTCCTTTGTGCCTGATGTGAGTTCCTCTTCTTATGTGCCTGAAATAATAGTCAGAAAAAAAACTTTTTTTATTTTTTTTAATGGAACAATCTATTGAAGCTTTAGACACAATATTTTAAAAAATCGATCAAGTTTGTGCATGTGTTTAGCACTGCAATAGTCCAGCCTAGAAATGACAAGGGCCTGGACAAGAAGTTGTGCAGCATGCTCCGTTAGGAAAGGCCTGATCTCTCTGATGTTGTGCGATGCAAACCTGCATGACCGAGCAGTTTTTGCAATGTGGTCTTTGAAAGTCAGCTGGTCATCAAAGATTACACCAAGATTTCTGACTGAACTTGATGGGGTAATTGTTGATAAAGCTAGCTGGATGGTGAAATAATGCTGTAGAGTCAGAGTGGCAGGGAAGACGAGAAGCTCAGTCTTTGCCAGGTTGAGCTGTAGGTGATGTTCTTTCATCCATGCCGAGATCCGTGCAGCTAACGTTGGATCATCCGGTTGAAATGAGAGATAGAGCTGTGTGTCATCAGCATAGCAATGGTAGGAGAAACCATGTACTTGTATGATGGGACCCAGTGATGTAGTGTATATGGAGAAGAGGAGGGGTCCAAGAACTGATCCCTGAGGAACCCCTGTGACCAGTTGATGTGCTTTGGATACCTCCCCTACCTAGGCAACCCTGAAAGACGTACCTGTGAGATAGGATTCAAACCAGTGAAATGCCGTTCTTGTGATGCCCAGTGAAGAGAGGGTGTACAGGAGGATCTGATGATGTGCAGTGTCAAAAGTGGCAGATAGATCCAGCAGAATGAGAACTGATGATTTGGAATCAGCTTTCACAATCCGCAAGGCTTCAGTGACTGACAGTAACACAGTCTCAGTTGAATGGCCACTTCTGAAACCTGACTGATTAACGTCCAGTTGGTTATTCTGTGAAAGAAATAATGATACCTGGTTGAAAACAACTCGTTCAAGTGTTTTTGCTATGAATGGAAGGAGAGAGACAGGTCTGTAACTATCTACAAGTGAAGTGTTTAATGTAGGTTTTTTGAGCGGTGAGGTTACCCGAGGCTGCTTGAATGCGGTGAGAAAAATGCCTGTGAGAAGAGATGTGTTGATGATATGTGTGAGTGCTGGTAAGAGTGTAGGAGAGATTGCTTGGAGAAGGTGTGATGTATGAGGTGCTAAAAAGTATAAACTATCAATCAAATGACAGAAGGCATGTAGTAGATTTTGTACAACAGGCTTTTAAGCAAAGTTTCAATCATGTTGATAATTTAGAAGCCATAGAAATGTGCGTATCAAATATGATACAGTAGGCTTTATAGGGTTAAATTCTATGGAAGCTCATGGAATAAAAAATAAAAAAAGGTAATTGCAAGTTTTTATCTCACAATTGCAAGTTATAAACTCTCAGTAATACTTTTCGTCTCAGAATTGCAGGATATAAATTCAGAATTGCGAGAAAAAGATAACTTGCTGTTATGCCTATTTTTTTATTCCATGGCGAAAATAAACTTCTATAAAATTAGATTATTGCTGTTTTTCATTTTTGTTTCCCGTCTTTGCCAACTTCATAGCCCAGGGCGGTCTACTGTAAAGATGTTCTGGACATTGAGCAGTTCTCCACCGTTAAGGGTGTCAACCTGGACCAAACAGACAATGATTTCTACTCCAAGTTTACCACTGGCAGTGTCTCTATCCCATGGCAAAACGAGGTATGAAGCTGTGCTAAAAACCCAGCTGCTGTCAGCGTAATGAGATATGGCAAATTTTTTTCAGAAACTACAATAATGAATCATTGTTAACATCCCATGTGGCAAACAAGAAAAATTGTAAAAGTTTGCTGACCTCTAGGTGTATAGGTGTGTTAATAGTGTTAATAGCTTTTAATAGTGTATATTAGAATGACTGGAAGGCTGCATTGACCAATCAGCATCCAGAACCGTAATTATTCATTCTTTAAAGATGTTCAAAAATAAGGATGATTTGACCTTTTCATCATCATCTCTCTCTCTCTCTGTTTATCTGTGTCTGTCTGTGTGTCTCTTGCTCTTTTGTGTCTGTTTTTTCTTTCCTTCCTTTTCTATTCTTCTCTGCTGCAGATGATCGAGACGGAGTGCTTCAGTGACCTTAACGTATTCGGGCCTCAGGGAACGCGGCCCCCTGACCTGGATTGGAACCAGCCTCCTGAGCCTCCTCGGCGTAGCCTGCTGGACAGGATCTTTAGGAGACATGTGAGGATCTCCTCCACCTCCACCACAGAAGAACACCCCAGAGAACACAATAGTTAACTACAGACCAGGTCAAACACCCCATCAGGACACACACACTCACGCATGTAGAGTAGAGCAGAACAGCAGCGATCGGGCTGAAGCTTTCTACACAGGGGCCAAAAATAACTCTTTGCCACATGAAAAGTCAAAAGGGGGTTCAGAAGTCTTGAGTCCATTTGCTTGTATTTTGCATTTTTTAAATATTGTTCTATTTTTCTGTCTCTGCAAAAGAGTTCACATAATCAATGAACAGATTTACTTGATTTATTTAATTAGTGACCTTAGAAATAGTGCAGAATTAATCATGTTTCTTCTTCATTGTACATTAAAATGTTTCTTTGTTTTATCGGATTTAAATCTGTATTTTTATTATGGAATCATTTAGCTGTTTTAACTGTAAACAAAAAGTCGTGATTTTTTTTCTTCACTTTTATTTTGGTGGTGTAATGCGAGAAATACACAACAGAAATATTTTTTTAATGTATGCTCACCAAGACTGCATTTATTTGATCAGAAATTCAGAAAAAAAAAGTACAAATATTCTTACAATCTAAAATAACTGTTTTCTATTGTAATATATTTTAAAATGTAATTTATTCCTGTGATGCAAAGCTGATGATCTTTAAAAAAGCATCATATGACCCATTTAATGTTGAAAACAAGCTTCATATTTTTGTGGGAAAATTAGAAAATTTTTTCAGTAGTCTTCAATGAATAGAAAGTTCAAAAGAACATGTATTTGTAACAGAAATCTCTTGTCTTGTTGAAAGTAATAAATGGTAAATATATCTGATTATGTAACGTTGCCCCCAACACGGCTGGCGAGTGTTAAGTTTGGCCCCTGATTGTACATGTCTATATGTGAGAGAGCATTTATACATCGTCACTAACATGATCTATTTCTGCCTGTCATTGTCTATCACCCTTCAGCATCCAGAGGTGACCATCGCTCAAAGCCGGGTCTCGTCTTCCAGCGTCAACTCTGTTGACTCCATGTCAAACTCTGCCCCCTAGTGAACAGACTGCTTGCTGCGGGACTACAGGGAACAAAAGCGAGTGAGCGATAAAGAGAGGAAAGAATGAGAGTGAGGAACTCCTCCTGCCCTTTAAAGACCGGTCGACAGAACGTGAAAGAGCGTTTTCCTTGCCTTGGCCCGCACTATCCATCCACGGCCCGCTGAGAGGACAGGAGACAAAACAAGCTCCCGTTTAAAGACCTTTATTTATCCGTTTTGTGACAGAAAGGAGAACATTTATTCCTTCACCTCACGCTCCCTCAGGATTGCTGGAACAGTAAAGAGCCACTGACAATGACAGAATATTAACTCATATTATTCAGGGGATTTTATCGACAAAGAAAGGCCTCCACAGGGAATGGGAAGGGGGCTTTTTAAATGTTCTTTTGCAAAGGAAAGCTAATATAGTGAACTTAAGAGACTACACACGCACTCACAAACACACACACTCTCTCGTTTCCTCCTCCATCCCTCTCGCAATACCTACCTACCCCTTTTTCTTTCCATCTACACGTAACACCTCCAACCTCAACCTAAAATGTGCATTGCCTTGCAAACTCTCAGGCCAAAGATAGAGCTTATTACAAGAAGACACGTATTTGAGTAGCTGTTGCCATATTTCGCTTCAGAGAGTGACGAAAGGCCTAAAAGTACAAGGAAATAGGAGCTCGGTGAAGCTGTACATTGTTTCCTCTCTATTTAAATTCCAAATTATGTAATATCATTGAAAAACAAACTCACTTTGGCAATTTCAGCCTCTTCCAGTCCACTTAGTTCACCCAAACATGTACATTTGTCATGATTTACTCATCCCCATCTCTGTCCGAACCTGTATTGACTTTCCTTTTTCTGGTGAACATAAAAGAAGATATTTTGCAGAATGTTGGTTTCAATTCCCATTGACTGGACAAAAAAACAAACAATGGAAGTCAATGGGAACCGAAACTGTTTAGTTACCAACATTCTTCAAAATATCTTCTTTTATGTTCAACAGAAGAAAGTGATACAGGATCGGGAACGACATGAGGGTGAGCAAATGATGACAAGAAAAGGTCATTTTTAGGTGGACTGACCAAAGTCCGTTTTCTAAAATCTCATCTGCTCTGTGTGTCAGGCACAACTTGGTCTACAAACATAAGCTAAAGTATCTCTGTATGGTCACTTCCTCTGTGCATAAAGGCCGTTGGCAGTGGTGAAAGGCGGAGCCATCTCAGTAGGCATGGCCTTTGGGTAGGTAGGCCGTCTACCAGCAGATACATAGCCAATCACAGCACAACAAATCAGTCAGTCCTTCTCATCTCATCACATTATTTATAAGTGGCTCATTTAACCGATTTACAGAAAATTGAGGATTGAAAGGTTGATTACTTAAGCTTTCATAGGCAATTTGGCGTTAATTCGAGGAAATTGCTGGACCCTTTAATCTGAGCTACTCAGATTTTGCTGATGTGGAAAACAGTTTAAAAATGTGCTAAATTTGTATTGTTGCAAGCTCCAAGAGGAGACGGTATCAACCACCTAATAATCATAATCACTGCAGGAACGCCACATTTGAGCATTTATACATTTTAGGACAGCAAAACAGCTTTTCTTCCAGATTTGGTGTGTAAATATGCCTTCATTTCATCCGATTTCAACCACTACTAGACTGAAAACTGGCAAAACTTCACTTCAGCATTTACACACGCACACATAATACACCAGACTCATTCACTTTCATACCTCAGTGGCTGTTTTCTCTTATTTATGCAGTTTCCAATCAGATGCCAACTGGTAGAAAAACATTTCATCCATCTTTCCCAACTGTAAATGTAGGCTACTCATTTAAAAAGTGTGCAGGATTTCAGTTGTATAGACATCACGGGAATCCAAAACGTATATCCCGTGCATAGAGAGAATACGTGATAGTTTTGTAGTGTTTCTTAATGAATGGATAGTTTTTCAGTAACCAAGCAGAGCGATTCAAGAAGGAACCGAAAACGAATCTCAACCTCATAATCTTGCATTTACAATACCATTCCAAGGTTTTTATACGCCTCAGCATTCATTAGCGCATCTCAAGACAAATCAAGTGTATTAAAATAGTGACTTGAAGCTATTTCACGAGTACGTATGCTAAGTGCCATGTAATTTCCAATCATTAAGCTGATGTGTGTTTACCAAACGATGCATCAGTTATGCCATTAATTTACCGCGCTAGAAATGTCCTCTGAAGGTTCAAGTGTATAGTGCAGGTTCTAACATTTCAGTCTTCTCATTTGAAACGTGTGTGATAACTGGTTATTGCACTGTATCATGACATGTTACATAAATTGCATTGCACACTGCATGGTCAATCAACTATTCATTGAGCGGGACCAGTGTGTCTGTTGGTTTTGGGGGCTGATCTGTGTGTATAGCTACTAGTGCCATGCTGTTGTTCGCTGTGGTGATTCATGGTCAATTTCAGGTGAAATTCAGAACTGATTCTCCTATTTTTTCAAAACTGTGGCCAATGTTAACAGCTTGTTCGGGAGTACTTTATTTACCATTACAGCGAATAGTCCTCATTTAGCCACTTTGTGTATACAAATTGAGGAAGCTTCTTACAACAGTGGGCAAGTTGCTACAAAACATGATTAACTCTGACAACTGAGTCTCGTGTTACTGATTTTGTGAATTTGAAGCAGGCTTTTCCCCCATGTATGCACAGATTTATATAATAATGCATTATTAATAATACAAGTTCACGAAGAGGGACTGATGTAAACGGATATTATGTTATATCGGCAAGTAAGTGTTGATTTGATCCATGGAAACATAAAGGAAATATTCGCCGCTTTTTTTCAACACTCATAAGTCGACATGAAATTTGAGTCACCCTGTTGAAAAAACCAGCATATGCTGGTTAGGTATGTTTTGACGCTGGGATGCTGGTTTAAGATTGTCCTTTGCTGGTTTATGCTGGTCCTTTGCCAGCACATGACCAGCATAAACCAGCAAAGGACCAGTTTAAACCAGCAAAGGACCAGCATAAACTAGCAAAGGAAAGGACCAGTTTAAACCAGCAAAGGACCAGCTTAAACCAGCATCCCAGCTTCAAAACATACCTAACCAGCATATGCTGGTTTTTTCAACAGGGAGTGAACTAGCATTATTAGTGTTATTCGAACAAAAAAGTTGTAAATTGAAAGCCTGATGGTTTGAACTTTAAACTTATAGGTTTATATTTCTCCATTGTCCCTCTGAAGTAATTTAATATCTGTGAAGTTTAGAAAAATGATGAACCTTTCCTCAGTCTGAGAGTTAATGCTTTGCTTATGTATATTTCCTTTATGTCCTCCATACAACGTGACAAATGAACTTGTGTTGACAGTTATGTAATTGCTGCATAAAAGGGAACTTGCCTTTAAAACAATGACCAAACTAAAAGGGAACTGAAGTGGTATTTATTTGGCAAGTAAAAACTGAAATTTCTCACTAGAGAAGATCAGTTTTTGAGGACACGGCTCCTGTTGGATTCTTTTTTTTTCTTCTTGAAGCAAGTTTTAACTACATTCTGGAAAAAAAATACCCAATGAAGTGCCTCCTTTTTAGTAGTCTAGTCCAGGTTAGTGCCCATGATACGGTTTGCACTTTGTGTGTCACTTCAGTTATTCACATGATGTAAACATGTACACGCACAAACACACGCGCACATGTTTTAAAGAGTGTTGTACTACGCTGATTGCATGTGAAGCCAAACCTGACAGAGTCCTTCTGAATAAAACCTGTGCTGGCCTGAACTTAACTGTGTAGTTCTTTTAGAAATGTGAAACGTGCTTGTATTATGATAGCGTACGTGATTATCATGAAAGGTAAATAAACATAAAACTTTTAATAACAAATGGCAAGGAATACTGACTTATTTTCATTTAAATGGTTTCACTTTATAATAGGGCAACATGTATATGTAACATTAAATATCACATTTTATTAGATTTTAAAGCATGTCAATTATATGTAATTATTTTATTTAAATGTTCTACTCCATTCACACAATAATGTCTTTTTATTTAATTTTGGGGGCTTTTCTCAGATAATAGTGATAAAATGTAAGTAATTTGATTAAATAATTGTTATAAGTTGGTATTCGATTACAGCTCTTGTTTGCACCTGTTCTAGCTTCATTTCAACAATTTATGACTGTAACTTTCACACTTCCAGATTAGAAGGTGGTCTGATAAAGATTAAGGCCTAAAGTATAAATTAATCTCAGGGACATGGGGTTGTGGGTTAAGGTACTTTTACTCATAAAGCCACTTTCCATTGCTTAAATGTTCTTGAACAAGTTGATTTTACGTCAAGCTGAAAACCACAAGTCATTAAACCAATATTTTCATACAACTAGAAAAGTTTCCATTGCCGTTGAGTCCAAGGCTGTCAGACTGGCCTCTTATTGGTGTCACTGATGGAGAATTGATTTGTTGCAGCTTTGATATGGTTTGTGTGGCACAGCTTGCAACAAGATGTGACCTGGATTTGCAGAATGCAGCCTAGCTTACATCTCAGTCAACTAACGTAAGGTTGAACGCTACAATTTGTACATTAAAACTCCACACAAGTGGTTTATTTTTGGAGAAACCACTAATTACCTCTTTTTTTTTTTTCTTTTTTTTTTTTATTTTTCACCAAGTACTGGTGTTATTTT